ATCTCAGCATGGCTGGCTAGGGAATTCTGGGAGTTGAAGTCCACTCATCTTAAAGTGGCCACGTTTGGACAACACTGTACTAAGAGTTCTGATCTAGTGGGAGGTAGAATTTTTTTCTTCAAAAATCACGCGTGCTGCTGGGAACTTTTTTTACTATGTAGTCCACATCTGTTTAAAACAGATTCACGTTGTATTCAATACACTTCAGGATGATTCAGCTAGATCAGTGTTTCTTAACCTTAACAACTTTAAGATGAGTGGCCTTCAACTCCCAGAATTCCCTTTGATTAAACAACTAGAGCCAGTTTGGTCTAGTGGTTAAGGCACCAGGCTAGAAACCAGGAGATGTTCTAGTCCTGTCTCAGGCATGAAAGCCAGCTGGGTGATTTCGGGCCAGTCACTGTTTCTCAGCCCAAGTCACCTCACAGGGTGGTTGTTGGGAAAATCCCACAACAATCCCAAACCCAGAAAGCATGCCTTCTCTGTCCAGTGCCTGCCCCTGGAATGAGATTCCCTCTGAGATCCATGTGGATCTCACCTTTGTGACATTCCAGAAGCCTTTAAAAACCTGGCTGTTCTCCCAGGTCTTGGGCTGGGGTGAATGGTGGCCCTTGAGAGTTGTGTTTTGTATATATTTTTCTGTGTTATTTGGGCAGATTCCCCATCTTGTTCATTTATTACATATTGTATTTTTTATTTTGTTCTCTGCAGCCAGTCTGGAGTCAGGTAGTGCTTAAACTGAAAAAAAAGAATGAAATAAAATAAAGCCTTATTCAGATATTGGCTTACTTGGCAAAAGGCTCACGGACAACACTCAGCAAAATTAATTTCTTCACTGCAGGCAAAAATGTACATACAGAAATTCTATCCATTGAAATGCATGTAAATCAAAGCCCTTATGTAGTTGATGCCTCAGGGTTTAATATCTAGGCTTTTTACCCCGGTGTTTCTGAATCAGTGGATAATTGGCCATTCTCCCGATGGCCTTGGAAGGCACCTGATCTATGTTGACACAATGGTTGTCTTTCATGTGAGAACAGCTATTTCCTGACTCACCAGCTTCATTTCTTAGAAATGTAGTGTTTAGGACCCATCATATGGGAATTTTCAGGAAGCCCAAACCCGGAACTGCTTTATAGTTTATGACGGTCCTCCATTTCCATTCCTAACATAGTCAATCTTCCATGTTTAATCTGCTTAAAATGAATATCCTTATCACTTTGTCTGTCCTGCTCTGTTTGTATTAGAATAAAACTAGTGATATTTTAATCTCTGTGTTTTAGCTTATTGCTGACTTTGAAAATGATTGCAAGAAAGTTTCTTCTACTTCTGATATCTCCCTCCCTGAAAACTTCTCACTGAGTGAGAGCTTTGATAAAATGATGGCAGGAACTGGCATCAATGCACCCTTCCTGAAGGCTGCCATGCTTCTCAAGAAAAATGGTAAAACTTCCATTATGCAGGGCAGTGGCAGAGTGCCTGCTATATTTATTTCACTTTGTTTTATTTATTGTCAAATAAATTTAATACTTTTTAAACTGGAAAATACCCTATTTCTTTGGGAAGGTAAGCACCCCCTTAGAAGACATGTTCCATTCTCTGCATGAGAATGAAGGGGGAAGAGTGAAATGCCTTTTCTAAGAAGGTGCATGCCCTCTGTGCTTTTTTAAATTTAAGTTTAAAAATAGTTACCATATATACTCAAGGATAAGCCAAGAATTTTAGGTTGCAAAATACTACCTCAAAGATTGTGTTTGCCTTATCCGCGCATGGGTTTATCCATGAGTGTATACGGTATGTTTCATGAGCAACAGGCAAAACTTTTGTTTTTGTTGATTATTTCAGCTGCTTACTTGAGCCTAATCATGTCTGCTTTACCTGTCTTATCCAGGATGCCTATCAAGTTTCAGTTTTGTGGGAGTTTAAAAAAAAATCTCTTGAAACTTGTGATGTATGTAACTAAATCAGGAATTGTCAAATTTCACAGTATCACTTCCCCCTAAAGCAATAAAGAAATAAATATACAACTTACTAACAGATTATAACTTTCATTATTTATTTTTACTAAGGCTTACTTTTATCAGCACTACCAGTTGCTAGGTTATATTTAGTGATTTTGTACCACTCAATAAAATATTTTCCATTTTGAATTTTAAACTAACAAATGAAAGTACTGAAATTCATCAACACATACATGTTTACACAGACACTTGGGTACCCTACTACAAACCATTGCAGAAATCAGCAGCTAGTGGGAAGACATTGACCAGTCATACCAGTGCTGGCATTGATGAATAATTTTGACAGATGGAGACCCATGGGTTTAGCCATCTCTCAAAAGTCAGTTCAGGATTTAATCACCATTTTGTCTGGGCGAGTCTGTTGCAGATTTTCCCAAGTAAAGCAGAGTGAATTTTGACAGTGTTTCTGCTTTATCTATGGAAATCAGCTTTTTAAAAACGTTGTGATCTTCCTCCAAGTTGGTTAAGGCCATGGTCACAACCACTTAATCTCACTCTGCATGTTCCAGCTGAATTTGCATTTATAGCTTCTTGTGTTTCTTAACGGCGTGTAAGATATGAGTTATTCTTGTTATGGAGATTGTACAAAGTCTGTAATCAACTTTTTCATTCCTCCTCATCTATTCAATTTCCTGCCCCTTTTCAGGTTTCAGAATTGCTATCCTGACAAACAACTGGATTGATGATACTCCTAGCAGGCAACACACAGGGTTTGCCTTATGTCTGCTGAGGAGATATTTTGACGTGGTGATTGAGTCATGTCGTATTGGCCTGCAAAAACCAGATCCCAAGATTTATGAGTATGCATTACATGAGCTGAAGGCAACACCTGAAGAGGTTAGTGACCTCTCAATCTTTTCTCTAGCAGATTTCCAGTTTTACGTCTCTGTATCACTCATTACAGATACATCAGCTTGTGTGTAGTAGAGATGGCATGTTCCAAGGTGCTCTATCATGGTCTAGAGATGTTTTATTTTATTTTATTGGGATTCAGTTCTCTCTTGCCAGTGTAGATTCCAGGGGTGAGTTCAGTGAGATTCCAGAGGAACACTCTGAAGCCAATTAAACACTATGCTACTTTCAATATTAATGAGACCTTGGAGATCTGTAATCAGATTTTATTTCTCTTTTTTATTTCTTTGAAAAGTAATTGTGAGGGAGAGAGATTTGACTAGAACGCCACTAAGAGGATAGGCAGTTCCCTATCTCTTCTCTAATACAGGCAACATTGTGATTTGCTCTGTTAAACATTTTAATCAGGGCAAATAGTAATGTGTACAGTAGTGCCTTAAATAAGTGTGATAATGATGGGCTTAACCTCCCCATGCAGCAAATCATAATTCTCCCCCCCCCATAGCTTAAAACCCTCTGCAAAGAAAATACAGCTGACATATCTCGAGAATTGTCTAGTCTCCCCCCTCACCTTCACATTCTAGTCCTAATGGTTGAGGATATGCTTAAAACTGTGCAGCAGTGGCTATTGATCTTTTGAAAGATAGAGGGATGAATGAATAAGATCCTTTATTTTGAGGCAGGGCAGGCTTCGGTGCATTATTTCATACCTTGTTCTTTCCTGTTCCATAGACTCAGTCTGCATACCGAGTACTTTGTTGCGCAGTTCCACTTCTCTCGTTGCAGCGTGTGGATGGCCTGAATAAAGAATAATATTTTTTGTAGACTATGGGCACTCCACCTGCAGCATCAAGAAAGTGAGAGGCTTGTTAGATATGGCTGCCAAATGTTAGTTCTTTTCATTCAGCTGATGACAGGTCTTGATTCATTCTTCACTCCAGGTTATTTTTCTGGATGACATTGGTGCAAACTTAAAGCCCGCTCAGAAGATGGGGATGACAACTGTCCTTGTGAAAGATGTTGACTCTGCTTTGAAGCAGCTTCAAGATCTGACCGGGGTTCAGGTAAGTGGTTCTTATTATCTTGGCTTTGGTATGAGCAGTTTCTTTGATCTCACATGGGTCTTTTTTTCAAACTTTGCTACAGTGTTGTTTCAAACAAGCAATCCCAGGAAAACAAACATTTAAAGCTTTCTTCAAAGCAAAGACAGGAAGGCCACTATATATTTTTCAGGCAGGAATTCCACAGGTTAGGAATCATTGTTGAAAAAGCCCTTTGGTGAATACCAATTATATTGATTTGGAAAAAGAAGTCAATAATTAGGAGCTCTAAAATGAACTTAAAACTTAAACCAGGTTTATAAAGAGTGGAAATTCTTTCAGATAATCTAGACCCAAAGTATTTAGGGCATTAAAAATCAAAACCAGTTCTCTGAGTTGGACTTGGAAGCAACCAGTGAGGCTGGTACAGTGATGTATAATGAGATCCTATCATATAGCCAAGGGTTGGCCTGGCAATATGAGGCTGTCCAGGCGTCATCAAACTGCAACCGCAATCATCCCTTACTATTGGCCATACCAGCTGGAATGGAGATCAGCAACATTTGGTGGGCCCACATGTTGCCCATCTCATATTTGACTTAGCAAGGTTCAAGCTGATGGATTCTGCACCAAGTGATACCTTGAACCTTCTTCAAAGATAACACCATGTAGAACAGTGTTTCTCAATCTTAGCAACCTTAAGACATGCGGATTTCAATTCCCAGAATTGAATTCTGGGAGTTGAAGCCCACACGTCTTAAAGTTGCCAAGGTTGAGAAACACTGATGTACAGCATGCATGGACATAATTAGTATATTATAAATGAGGGAAGATTACATTTCCTGGATAGAGCCAACTGATTCAGAACTATTTCTCACTGTTGCTTCAGCTGTATTTCCACAGAAAGAATAAATCTGAAGGAAATCCCAGAGTACCAACTTATAGTAAATTGCACTCTAATGATTAAAAACACTTTGATTTAGAGGAGCTCCACATGCCTGAGGTAAATTCTCACAACTGGTGAATATGAGGCCAGAGGAGCAAGGATTTCATATACATTGAGGATAGGAGCAACTGCCACAGCTCTTAGTATGTGACAGAGATAATGTGAATCCTTCCAAGAATTCAAGGATATCTCCATTAAATAGCAGATTCAGAGCAGGAAGAAGAAAGTTGAAGTTTGTTCATCTTTAAGGTGCTACAAGACTTTTTTTGAGTTCTGTTGGAAAGGACCAGCAGAGCGCTCTCTCTCTCTCAACTATTTTTTTCTCTCTTTCTGATGTTCAAGCCTGAACATCATTGTGTATGCAGTTAAAATAACACCATCCAAATGTAGAGAGGAGGTATCAGCTGATTTGGGGAGAACCTTAGGCTTTGAAGAAATGCCACCCCCAAATACTTACAAGGAAAAAGCTACTGAGGGCACAAAAAGTATTGAAATGCTTGATGCTGAAACAGATGCGCATCAGCAGAAGCAGTAGAGTCCACAGCAACAGAGCATCATAGAATATTTAGGCTGAATTCCTCCCAGGATCCAAAGGTTGATGCCCAGATGCTAACTGGCATATTTGAGTGGCCTAGGCACTGGCAAGGCCAAGCAGGCCAGAGGTGGGCACTTTTAAAACAGCTCAGGAACAATCAAGTGATCTATGCACTGGCATTTCGAAGGCTTGGTCGCTGAAGGTCCCCACCAGAGGTACATTAGAGCATCATCTGCCGCCCCCAGCCTTCTGGACAGTCTAGAACAGTAGCTGTGGCCTTCTAGGAAAGATAAACTTAACCCTACACCCCACACCTTGTTGTCAACAGACCAGTTAAGTGATAGAGGGGGTAACATTGGGGAGGAAAGGCTAAGTCTAGCTTTGAGAGTCCAGATTAAAAAAGGACCTGAATCAAAGTGGTCTGAAAGTATAGGAATTTTGAACTGTAGAATATAGAAAGAGAGCTTGGAAACCCTTGAACTGTAAATAAATAATAGAAACCATAAATAAATAATGTAAGTAATAATAGAAAATATGAATGAGAAAAAGCAATAAAAATAGATTTTAGAAATAAGGAAAGAAAAATGAAATATTTCTTTTACTGATAACATTTTTATTTTTTTGTAATTTTATTTTCTTCATCCCATTTAAAAGGGAATTTTGGGCTTCCTTGCCTCTGATTGGTACCATCTTACTGGCTAAGCCTACAGTATATGAAATTAGAATAGGAAAGGCTATCGTCATTGTATCCTGTTTTAGGGCTTTCTAAGAACATCATGCTGGCTAGAAAAGGAAACAGGATATTGGACCAGTTAGTCTTTGGCCCAATCCATCTGATTCCACTATAAACCTGAAGTGACCTTCAGCCATTTGAATTACTTGATGTCTTAAAATAAGCATATACTGTAACCAACTTCAATATTTATTTATTTATTTATTTATTTATTTATTTATTTATTTATTTATTTCAGTTATTTATATATGTACGGGTAAGTTCCTAGACTGATAAACATTCAGGAGATGGTTATCTAAACAGCCAGCTGCAAGCTTTTCATTACCAGTAAAAAAGACTTGGTCCCTTGACTTATCATGGGAAAGGCTGTTAGAAACTAAAGAAGTCTTGCCCTAACGGATTAGGGGATAACTTGTTTCTAAACGTGGAATAGATCAGTTGCTTCATTCCTTTCATCTCAATAAAGCTTTGTAAAGAAGACCCTGAAAATTGTGCTTAGAAATAATTACTTCTGGATTGAGGCAGCGGCCAGAGCCTAACCATATTCCTCCTTTCAGGATCACAATGCTCCCCAAATGGCTTGCAAGCAATATAAACAATCGTAAATAAATTATAATAAGCTTTTCTGAAAAATAAAAGTTCTAGGATCCTTCCCATAGGGCTGTGTCAGACAATAGCTAGAGTTGCCGGCAAGCAGGAGGAAGAGGAGGGAAGAATCTACCTAGACAATTTCTGGGGTGGCTGTTGCTTGTCTGCTTCTGTCTCTTTTCTGGGGTCATTCTCACAGGACAGTCGTTGGTAATTGTACATGTAGCTAAGAACTATGGAACCTGCTATAATTTCCCCTGCCTGATAGCTGGTTCTGTGTAGCTCACAAGCCTCTGTTGCTACTCCAGTTATTATCGTAATTGGTCTCCAAGTTAAATATGACCACAATGGTTGAACCTGGGAAGAAGTTAATGGCAAGACATTCTGCAGGTGGGAACGAGATGCTGCCCAGGACTGCTGATTTTCACATGCCTGGGCGTATTAACCTTGTAAACCGGCCTCAGTGGCCTGCCGTTTTAAGCCTGGCAGGATCTGGTTACTTTGTGCTGGAGTGAAGTGCTTTTCTGTAGTGTTTTCGTTGCTCCTATCCTAAAAAGCTTCAGCGTAGCTAAGGGTAGCTCACGTACCAGCTGATTCCTTGAAAGTGGATCTGCTTCATTCCCCTTAAAAAACAAAGGCCAAAGATCTGCATTTCTCTGTTGATCCAAGTTTCTACCTTTGCACTCAGCAAATTGCTGGGATTTGTGCTACATTAAAATTTAGAAAATTAAAAAAGGGCATTTTCCCTTAGCAAGGTTGTTTTTAAAAGCAGGCAATTTAAATGTGATCTTTTAGATCATCTTAGCTGGGTTTCATTATCTTCCAAAAATGGAATTTTCATGAGGAATTGAGCAGAACAAATCTCAGCTTGCTTTTCACTCTCTTTTAATTGTATTTTCAGTCCTTTTGGTTATAGATATTTTAAAAGTACTATTTACACAAGCTTACTTATGTTGCATGGATTAAAGCCTCTCTATTATATACATTTATTACAAGAACTACTAGTCTGAATACTTGGCTTTTTGTGTATTGTCGAAGGCTTTCACGGCCAGCATACGATGGCTGGTGTGGGTCTTCCGGGCTC